AGTGAGGAGAAAAGACAATAAACGAACAGGATTCAAGATGAGATAAGATGGTGATTAGTGTTGCATTTAAATTTCGAAGATTGTACGTAGCAGCGAAGCAATCAATCAAAAAAGAGTTCCACAGGCGTGGAAAGAAACTATTAGAACAGAACATAGATTGCATCTACCCAGTGGTTGCACTAAAGTGGTGAGATCTAGTTTCAGTCTAGTTAAATTAAATGCAATCAAAGAATCAATAAGGAACGCTCATCATTAAAATTGCAATGAAATATTTATCGAAAAAACAAAGGGAAGACACGTCACGTCGGCAAGAGAGTAACTGATGTTGTAATGCCCGCGCAGGATTGCTTAAATTACAGACCATTCTTTGAATTATGTCAAGAATCTCGAGATATATACACCCTTGTACAAATTAATTGAAACGACCGGTTTAGTTTCCTTTCTTTCATCATACGGTCAGTTTTAGACTCACTGGAGTGACAAGGTGTAATCGGTGTCTATCTTTTGCTCAGATTAGGTCATTTGCAGTGGTGTGCAGTACCATAAATGTATTTTCGGGGTGTATGATGAAATTTGTTTGGTCTTCAAAAATATTGCGTCAACTGTGATTGCGTCAGATTTTCAGCACACTCAAACACTATTGTCTCAACAGTCGATTAGTTGTCTTATGTCTATTGTCTGCGATGGAAGTTACTGTAAGGAAGCGTACGTAAATTCTAACGCTGCAGGAAAACAATGACAACCTTTACCAGTGAAAAAATTAAACAACTATCGACTGGCTCGAAAACTCTACTGTTTTATATCCATTCGAGAATCTTTCAGGAGGGAAAAAAGTTTAATTATTTCTCGCTTTGAGCTTTCAAATATTCTAGCAAACGATAAGAATGATCGTGTGCTTTTTGAAAGCCTGATTAGCGTCTGAGATAACGTCGCTGATTGGGTAAAACATGCTTATGTGGAAATTTGAATTAGAAGCTCATGTGTGCCTATTTTTCAAAACACTGAGACGATGACTGTGCGATGCCACTTTTGCGCAAATTTGAGATTTTAGTGATACTACTTAAATCTTTTTAGATTTCTTACTAGAATTATAACGGACTCCACCCACGCACATTCATACATACATATATATATATATATATATATATATATATATATATATATATATATATATTGGTGCCCTGTTTCAGAATTGTAGAAAAATGCTAATAGATTTAAGCACATACACAATATATATATATATATATATATATATATATATATATATGAAGAAATATAGTCTTAAGGTGTGCTATATTTATGGGATAAAGTGTTCATTATCAGAGATAGTGTGTGTAAATATAAAAGTGAACATAGAAGTCAACACTTAGGGCGACAGTCTGTTTCATGCTATATGCAATCGTCAGGCCTAACGATTGCATATAGCATGAAAACAGACTGTCTCTCTCTCTCTCTCTCTCTATATATATATATATATATATATATATATATATATATATATATATAATTGTAGAGCCCTGTTTCAGAATTGTAGAATGGATTTAAGTACTGTCACTGAAAACTCGAATTTTATACACAGGCCGGCTCACGCAAGGTAATTCAAATTTTGTGCAGTAAGTCTCCTGATATTTGCATTTCTGCATCATATATATTAATCAACCAGCGATGTTAATTGGCAGACGGTGAAATATCTTAAAATAGAATTTTGTAGGATCAACATCAGAATATGTTCAATAATATTTTTCCGTAAAAGGAATAATCCAAAATATATATTACCCAATAAGCTTGTGATTAAAATGCAAACTTTAGATTCACCCGGCACCTCTTATTTTATTATGAATAAGATCAATTTTCTTCACTAACTAGTCTTTCAGTGAATCTTTGACTAGGGTGTTTGATCGATCGTTTGTCATACAACCTAAACTGTAATTCTCACAATGTATTACTCACATATTTTGCATATTTATTCGAGTATTGAAAATTACAAAGATAAGGCTTAGCGAAACTTAGTCTATATGCTGCAACAGTCAGGACAAAATTTTGGGTTTTCATTCATGTGGCTTGGAATGCACAGTTAAAAAAATATAGACTTATTACATATATTTACACACATATAGGCGCATATATCGTTTATCTTATTCTGAGACAGTTCATTCAGCTGTACAGTACAAAGTAAAAATACACAAAAATTTTGTGCGGAACTGTTCGCAAAGTATCTTTCTTTTTCATTTCTTTCAATTTGGAAGAAAATAATACTCAAATGAATAAAAATCTTTAAAATGTTTTAGATCTGTGATTGAAGATTATTATAATTCTTCATTTATACACGCATATTCCGTAATATATATAGTGACTATTATGACTAATAATGCAAGACTCTTCGGTAAATCGAATTGAGTTCTATCGGTGACTGTGTGTTTATCTAGAGTTAAATACGCTTTAATTCACCTTCATTCCTCCTGTGCACCAACGGCTTAGTGGTAAAATACTGACTGACGCCGGTTCAGTCGGGTTTCGATCCTAGCTAGAGGAAACCGGACATCTCGCCACATTGATGAGCTGTGATACAACGAAACAGTCCGTCTGTGGATGACTTATATATATATATATATATATATATATATATATATATATATATATATATATATATTAAATATTAAAATATTTAAATTATTAAATATTAGTTCTGGATTTACATTGAGCTCTCAGGATTTCATCTTCCATACGGATTACCAAGTTCTTCATAACATAACTATATATATATATATATATATATATATATATATATATATATATATGAAAAATATATGCTGGAAAAAACAAACAAAAATCGTTATATACAATTATGCTGTTTTAATGTTATATTAACATTAAAACAGCATAATTGTATATATGATTTTGTTTGTTTTTTCCGTATATATTTTTCTTCATACTGTCGGATCTATATCCATATATTTTTATATATATTATATATATATATATATATATATATATATATATATATATATATATATATATATATATATATAAGTGTGTGTATGTGTGTGTGTGCCAGGGCCTGGCGTGCCACGGTGAATTTGTGTAGAAAATATACTTTGTTTTACTGAGCTTCTAATATGTAAAATTCTGTTTATTTTTAAAATAAGCATTGTTAGTACATATATTTCTGTTGAAGCTCTTGTACCAAGAGGAGTAGTCGAAGTATTTCAACCTGCTTTTTACTTAAGTTTGAATAAGGCTGTTTTCTGTAACAGACCAGCTATATGAAGATGTGTTTCGTTAGACTCAGGTATTTGCTGACGAACACTTATTTCTGAATGGCGCCTTAAATAGTAGACGGCAAAAGTAAACACACGTTTCCTAATAAAGGAAAAGCGAATAAAATATCAAATGATAGATAGATAGATAGATAGATAGATAGATAGATAGATATAGATAGATAGGATTATTATGAATTCAAGGTGAATACTAGATAAATATACTAGCAAAGTAAAAAGGAAGAAAGTGCATTACAAATTTCCCTTGGGTTAGGTTGCGAGATCTGAAGGAAATAAGAAACAAAGAAAACAAAAAAGAGAAGAGCATTACGAATTTAACTACTGTTAGACTGCGGAATATGATGAAAATAACAAAGAAACAGAGAAAGAAAAGGGCATTATAAAATTTACTATGATTAGACTGCGAGATATGAAGGAAATAACAAACAAACAAGACAAGTAGAGAAGGTCATTACGAATTTTATTAGTGTTAGCCCGCGGGGTATGAATAAAATCAAAGCAAGCAAGAAAGAAAAAGGCATTACAAATTTTACTAGGGTTAAATTGCGAGAAAGAAAGAAAGAAAGAAAGAAAGCAATATTAGAATAAAAGAAAGAAAGAAGGCGATTATATATATATGAAGATAGAGATAGATAGAAGATAGATAGATAGATAGATAGATAGATAGATAGATAGATAGATAGATAGATAGATAGATAGATAAAGAAGAGACTGAAACAGATAGATAGTTATGGAGTAGCCAGAAACACATATATATATATATATATATATAGAGAGAGAGAGAGAGAGAGATAGATAGAAAATAGATGAAAAATATATCTATCTATCTATCTATCTATATATATATATATATATATATATATATATATATATATATATATATATATATATATATATATATAGATATATATATATATATATATATATATATATATATATATATACATATATATATATATATAGAGAGAGAGAGAGATATCTATCTATATATATATATATATATATAGATAGATAGATAGATAGATATCTATATATATATATATACACACACACACACATATATATATATATATATATAGATAGATAGATAGATAGATAGAGTCTGATAAAAAGACAACAGATAGATAGATAGATAGATAGATAGAGTCTGATAAAAAGACAACAGATAGATAGATAGATAGATAGATAGAGTCTGATAAAAAGACAACAGCTAACATTGACAGACAGCTTGGTAATCATTCTGATGCAAACCTATGGGGTAAATAAAAAAAGGAAATAGATCGATCCATATATAAATATCGATTATATCAGACAGGTAAATGTATTTTGTGTCATGCTAGATAGACATAAAGATAAACGAATGCATAAAGAGATGTCGTTTATATTTTGTGTCTTTGTTTTAAAGCATAACTAAACACGCCCAAGCATCCATAGATGTCTTCTCTTTCTTTATATGGATGCCCAAACGACCACCATCGATTGACCCTATTCTTTATCCTAAGGAGAAAAGAAAATAGCTACATTCTTTGAAAAGCAAACTTTACCTAAAATCAGACAAAATGCACAATGTTACATCAATATTCAGAGAAAATAAAACAAAAAAATAAAACATCAAGAAATAACTTTTTTTTTTTTTCCTTTTTATGTTTATGTTCTTTGTTTGTCTAAAAGGCATATGACAGCTACTTCGTAGCCTCCGGTAACGTGAATGAGTGCGTACGCATGCGTCATAGCCAGCGACAAATGTGTACCTTTCGCTTATCCCCACGAGAGCGCCGCCGGAGGAATTTCTCATTTTCTTTGCGGTCAGGAATAGCTTTATTCTTGTGGAATGTTGTTTCCAAGCAGCCCCTTGGTGTCAGCCAGTGAGAAGGAGCAGTGGTTGGTTGTCGGCAGTAAGTTCACTGGCGGCTGGAGAAGAGAGGGTGGATGAGGTAACAAAAATGACAAACAGAGGTGTGGAGCAGACCTTCCCAAGCATGTCACCAAGTCCCCTGCTCGGCCCCACGACTTACGACCCCGCAGATATATTAGCAGAAGGCAAGAGCAGGAATGAAGAAGAAAGCACTGTTTATTCATTTGTTTTATTTTTATTTTATTTATTTATTCATCGTCTGTTTCTTTCAGTTTTTTTTCCTGCCCAAATTGGTAACTTTGAGTTCCGTACTTTTAGCTATATCTTTCTAAATTCATTTTTTTTTTATATGCGTTGTTCATTTTTATTAAATAATTTGTTTTTTTTACTATCGCCATTAGTTAACTATTGTCTCGTGTTTTTATTTATTTAATTATTTTAATATCTTTTTTTCTTTGGGTCGGTATTTTTTTAAAATTCTTCCTTTATTGTTTATAGAACATTTCCTTTCTTTCTTTCTTTATCCATCTAGATTTACATTTCTTTCTCGCTATGCATTTCTTTTTCTTTTTTTCCTCTCCACTTCTTTTTTGTTTTCATCATTTTTATCAAATATTTATTTCATGTCCATTCGCCATTAATTAACACTTGCCTCTTCTTTTTATTAATTTTCTTCTTTTTTCGTAGTTCTTTTTATTTCTGTTTATATCTTTTGTTTTAATCTTTTTGCTTTTTTGAATATATCTCAGGACATTTCGTTGTCTTCTTTCTTTCTTTCTTTGACGTTTTTCTTTCTTTCATTGTTTTTTTCTTTTTTTTTCATTTTCTTTCTTTCTTTTTTATGCATTTTGGTTTGTATGCTTTTCTTTCTTTTTCAGTTTTTTCTTTCGTTGACACCTTTCTTTTCCTTCTTTCTTTCTTTCTTTCTTAAAGTATCATTCCCCGCCATTTTCATGTGTCGTCTTTCTTTTTTGTCATTTTATTTTCTGTTCCCCTTTTACACTTTATTTCGTCAGTTTAATTAAATATTTATTTTCTGTACATTCATCATTAATTACACCTTGTCTCTTGTTAAATTAATTTTCATATTTAAATTATTCTCCTGATATTTTCTATATATTTTTTCATTATTTTACTACATGACTTGACATTTCTTTCTTTTTTTTTTTTTTTCTTTTTTCTTTCTTTCTTTCTTTCTTTGGCAGCTGGTCTCTCATCCGATCTGACTGGTTACATGCCTCGAAAACTAAACTAGTTACATTCCACCATCTCCGATCCGACCCCGAATCAGTCACGATGAATGGATGTCCTTTGCAGAGACTATTGGTCCACGAACTTATCCCTGACATCCAGTGGAACTAGTACCGTAATTCTCCATGTATAATACGCATTTTTTTAAAATATAATAAGCAAAATTAGTGATGCGTATTATAGACAGCTACAAAGAAATATTCGAAAAATTGCCGTTTCATAGGTCGATTTCAGTTGCGAAATGACGACTAACCACAAACATACGACAATTTGACACTAACATTCGGCGACTGTGACCCCCATCAGGATGTCAAATACAATCATATGTACGTAACAATACTTCAAATGTAAAATAAAATAATGATTATTATAGAACTATATTAGAATATTATTCTATGATTGAAACCATTTTTTGTGAAAGAATACATACAGACCCGGTAGATTGCACATTTTATCGTACAAAAATAGGTTAATGAGTCTGCGCAGTAGGCACAATATAGGTATTTCCGTTTAAATTTAGAATTGGGATGATTGGAAAATTTGATATCTTCAATTACGGCTTGAATAAGAGTAGGAAATGCTGGCCGTAACGAAATTGGGGATGTACAATTTAAAGGGTTTGATTAACAAATAAGGGGAGCGTATAATGCATGAGTAGAAGCATTTTCCCACACTTTCAGCACAATTTTAGGGGTGCGTATTATGGATGAAGGTGTATTATACATGGAGAATTACGGTGCATACGATTCATCACTAAAGATGCCGGAAAAATAGTATTGTTCCCTGTATTATTCCAGTAAGTACCTGAGTCCTGCTATACTCTACATTTAGATCAAGCCTAAAACAAAGTACTGTTGCCACTTTTCCGGCTCGACAGAATCCAAGACCGTCTCCGAATCCTTGTGGGTGACAAATTGTTTCCCACCCACCAGTCCCCTCTCACAGAAGTGTTGTGGCAAGCTTCTCACTACGCAATCACTACTTCCATGGAAAATGCTCAGACGAACTACAGGCTGTTTCGAAAGTGTTATCACCCCTATATTGTCTTCCCAGAAGTCCAGACATCACAACTTGCGACAACGCTCTTTGGGATATAAAAAAGGAGAGAGATTCATATGGATGATACCAAAATAGCCATCAGTTGAATGACGCCGTTTGTAGATATTCTCGATGTGGGACAGCGTCAATGAAAGTGAATAAACTGAATCCAATACATGTGTTACTGTATTACTTGATCTTCTATTGTCCTCATTACATTTTTATCGTGGGTAACAAAACTTTCGGACCACAAGGTATATTCCTCGCATCGACTAGTTTTAACCATCACGGCTAGGACCCGCCATGCCACTCACATAGTTATAAAACACACCATTGCCTCCGTATTCCATTGGTGAGAAACACTCGAACAGCATCTTATCACGATCCACTAGTTTCCCCGATAACTACAATCTTAATAATCTGTTCAGGTCTAGAGTTGCCATTTGTGTCCCCTTTCTATCCGCGTAAACTGTTTGTTATTCACTATATATATATATATATATATATATATATATATATATATATATATATATATATATATAATTATTTATTTAAAAATATGATTCCAACTCGCGACATAAGAGGTCTCATGTTTCAAAACAAGAGCCGAAAACTTCAATATAATTATTTGAATTAAATTGAGTTAAAGTAAGCTCTGTTCCATCTTCAAGCGAATTTTTTTTTTTTTTTTTTGGAATAACGTATTTCTGAAATTTACGTGTTTTAATAATTGAAATCAAAATTTCCATGGTAACAGCTAGGGCGAATTGTTTAAATTGGGTAGGCGTGTGTTGGGTGTTAATAATAAGTATCAGTATAGAGTTACTTCCATAGATATCAAGTCAGGGAAAGGTGGGGGTGTCTAAATTTGAGACGGAAGATGTATTCACCCTAGTCTGGTATGCGTGTCTATGCAGATTTATTTAAAATACTAAGGAACTTTTGATTATTTAACTAAACAGTTCCTTCCTATTTTCTATATATTTTCACACACACACACACACACACACACACACACACACACACACACATATATATATATATATATATATATATATATATATATATATATATTATCAAAATAGTTATGTTATAATAAAATATTTTACCTCTTTTAAAAACATCTTTACCTCTTTTGAAATTTAAAAAAAAGTTTAAAACATAGGTAACCTTTTTTCTAACTTACAAAACAGGTAATGATTTGTTTTAAAATTTCCCAAATAAATCATTTGTATTTTGTTCTCTACCATCATCTCCCGGTAAGGAACCAATAAATATCAGAAACATGAAAGTTTTAGTGTAGCGAGGTAAAAATATTTTTATTATAATAAAAGTATTTTAATAATATTATATTTTGCTCTACTTTTGTATTGAACACATTTTTAAAAGTAAATGCTAAGAACTCTATATTCTATCTCCATCTGTTCTTTCTCTTTCGTATGATATATATATATATATATATATATATATATATATATATATATATATCATAAGAAAGAAAAAGAAGAATATATATAAATGATAGAACTTATTAGGAGGATTTGATAATTAAAATTTAATTTATCGAGTCTGAAAGAAACCTCAACAGAATGCAGAAAGCACTGGACGGCCGTTTCGTCATATATTTGGGACTCATCAGCAGTGCGTATCCACTACCGAGAATTGAAACCCGGTTATCAAGCAAACTATATTGAGTCTGATTTGCAACCTCTTCGTCACCGAGGCCCATTGAACAGTTGGTATGATGTTTGCTTGATAACCTAACCTTTCAAATGTTCAGTTTGGTATTCAATTTTTAAATATACCTACATTCTCAGCATTTCTATCTCTTCTACGGGTTCATCATTCTCGGTTTTATTTTTAATTTTTACAATGTTTGGCGTAACACATCTCAAATACAAACAAAGCAAAACCTTAAAAACTGTCTTTTGGAAGATTATTAAAAATGACTATATTTGTTTTTTGATCATGACTCCATTTTTTCATTGAAATGCCGTAGTTCTTACCAGAGACTGTCAAGTGATTTCCCATTGCAACTGCACGGTATGAAATTCATATATGTTTCTCCTAGACTGTCTGCCAACAACGGATAGAAAATCCAGTCAATCTTTTCTCCCGACATGTTTTACTTTATATTATATCCTACTTGGCTGAAAGAAAAATAATAGACAAGAAAGAAAGACAGTAAAGTCTAATCTAGATATTACATTTGGAATATTACATTGAAGATAAATGTTTTTTTTTGTTTTTGTTTTTATTCTGAGTCCACTCAATACAAGGCCCCTCAAGATAAGAGGTTACTGAACAAGACTTATTTATAGAAAGTGGGAATGAGAGAGTAAGAAGTGAACATTATAAGAGTTATAGGATAGATATCGGTTGAACGCGGACTTACAGAAACAGAAAGATTGTAGTTGTAAGGGAACCATACTCTCGGGAGTTGTTCCAAAAAGTAACAGTCCTGGGAAAGAAGCTGCCTGAATGAAACTTACTTCTTATACAAGGAATTCGAAGGGAATAGGGATGGTTTGCCATCGTGAACACGGCAAGGCGTGTAAGAGATGGGAAGGTCTGAACGGGGGAATTAAGGGATGTAGCTCGTCCGAACATCTGCCCCTGTAATATAGGAATTAGAGTGAGTCAGTCGTTCACTTTTGAACCGACTGCTCGGTTGAACTCTCTTCCTACGGACTTATATGTAAACAAATATATGGATATAGATCCGACAGTATGAAGAAAAAAAAATCCTAATATGCGATTATGTTGTTTTAATGTTTAATGTCAGCGTTCCGTTTAAATATGACCACGTCGTCGTCACGTGGGCGATGTTGTGAAAACGGAACACTGATCTTATAAAAGATTTCCGTTATCTCTTTGGATTGGTATTGCTTTTATGTCCATCGTCTTTTTCATGTTGAATTGTATATGGTCTATGTTAATTATGTTTTATGAATATGTCCTGAAGATGGTCTATTAGACCGAAACGTCCGAAGTTGACATTAAACATCAAAACAATATAATCGCATATTAGGATTTTTGTTTGTTTTTTTTCAGTATATTTTCTTCATATATATATATATATATATATATATATATATATATATATATATATATATATATATATTGAAGAGAAAACCAGATTTAGAATCCCCAGATTTCTAGCATTTAATTTTCAAAGAATTGCTCAATCTAAACGTAGAGCATTACATTATATTGTTATTTTATTAAAATATTTTACATTGCGACACGAAAATTTCTATCTTTCGAGACTTAATTTTTTTTTTTTATCTAGTCATCAGGCAATGTTCAGTAACTTTTTGATGAAAATAATTTACATTTGAAAATAGAAAACAATATATTTATTAAAGAGCTAAGATGGACTGGGGAACCCGGATGTTAAAATCTTATGGGTATACCTCATATAACTAAGCAAAAAAAAAAGGTCAACGCTAAATCAGAAAAGTTAAAATTCTCCGTAAAGTTAGTCCACAAAATATAAACCGACTGAGAAAAGAACTGGTTAAATTGTTGAAGCTCATAAAATAAATATTACTACAACAATCAACGTTAACATTATCGATGTAACCTTCGACTTGAATAATGGTTATTATAAACCATATAAAAAGGATGTATATATAACCATTAGTAAACTACCCCAAAATTTTAGATAATTTACATAAATCAGTTATATTATCTACCAACTCCAGCAATAAAGAAATATATGATATCTCTAAAATTAAATATATAAATACTTTAGAACTAAGCAACCATAAAATAAATTTAGAGCATTTAGAAATAAACTAAGTTATATTATGCAGAAACACCGTAAACGGAACATTATATGATTTAATCGACCTTTTAACCGTAATGTCCAAACTAATATACCTAAGAATTTTCCATCGCCCAACATAACAACGTTATATTATCCAAATATATTTCCAACAAAGAGAATGTGAATTCCAAAAATAAATAAAACTACGAAAAAAATGATATGTCCCTTAAACGGTCAATGTATGACCGATAATATTGTATACCAAGCGAGCATACATATATTTTAGATGTTGTTTAATTATTCACAATTTAATAAATGATTACAAGAACCTCCGATTAGACAAAAAGATCAAAGACATTTTCGATAAACCACCCATAAATGCAAAGAAACAATCACCTAACCTATCAGCTATCTTCACCTCTACCAAATATCTAAACAATACAAACCAATCAGGAAATTACAAATGTAACAAACGTCGTTGCTTAGTTTGCAAACACTTAATAATAGATAATGTATTTTTTGTACCCAACATCAATATCAAGATACACCCACCTCACCTCACCTGTGATAGCCATAACCTAATCTACTATTTATTCTGCACCTTATGTCCTAATAGTGGATATATTGGTGAATCTGGAAATAATTTTAGATTTCGCTTCAACAATCATAAACAACCCATACGTCAAAACAGTACTTATTCCCCCATAGCTGAACACTTTAATCAATCAGGACACTCATTAGAAAACTGTAAATGTTTATTGATAGATTCTGATTTCAGTTCCACATACACACGCAGAAAAAAAGAAAAATACTGGATTTTAAATCTTTATAAACATTTCAATAGGTAAACATTTTTTTAGATATAGTTAATTTTTTTTTATTTTTTAAACAATATCTAAAATATTATTACACTTAGATTTACGTCAAGAATATTCGAACACGGTGGCGTTCCATATCACGTGACGTCCGCGTCTCGCGACGGACGCTACTTGTAAACAAACAGTTATTTCTGAAGAAAGATTGAGGTCAATCTGAAATATCAAATATATATATAAATAAATAAATACTTTCGTAAAAATGACATTATTTTTTTAATTTGTAACTTTTTCTATATATACATATTAAGAAAGTATACGTGGCCTCTCATTATGCTATATATATATATATATATATATATGTTTTGTCAGCAAACTTTCTTTCAAACATCTTTCATTCAATACGACCGACAAGAAAGATTTAATTAACTTTTTTATTCAGTTTTTCCAGCATCCTTAGAGTATTTTGTAGGATTCAAGTAATATAAAAATTCTCCATAATTTCTATAGCCCCAAGCGCTTTTGGACACTTCTATAGCCATTTTCACTGTTGTTTTGTTTCTGGCGTTGTTATTGTTTTCCTCATGTTTTGACTGTTAAGTTGTAATTTTGCTTGTGTTTTTTTTTTTTTTTTTTTTTTTTTTTGTAAGGTTCTTCCGTACCAAACCCTCACGTGTCCCGTGCGACTAGAATTATCACCCCATTCCCACTATTAAATAATGTTAGGTCGATATTAAGAGAAAATTGTTTTTTATATATATATATATATATATATATATATATATATATATATAGCTTCATGAATTGCGAGATAACCTTGATAATGTGATTTATATAGAATTTTTGTGTTTTCGACCAGAGTTTTTCTTAATATTTCTTGTAGATTATGGATTAATAATTTTCTATGCGACTATATATATATATATATACACACACACACACACACATATATATATATATATATATATATATATATATATATATATATATATATATATATATATATATATATATATATATATATATATATATATATACACACATACAGTTGCGTCCAAAACTAAGGGACAACATTTTAAAACCTAATATTTGTTAGAAATAACAACTGTGTAAAGCTGAAATGTTGACAACTGGTAGTCGTTATCATCCATAATAACATCCTAAAATTTGAATCCTTTGCAAAGGATAGAAAAAGAATTATAACAATTATTTATTTATTTTCAAATTTGGAACGTCCAAAAGTAAGGGATAAAATTGAGAAAAACAATGTAAACGGCAAAAAAACAATAAAAATACATGTACAATCAATATTTAGTAAATGAGCCCTTGCTCTCAATGACAGCTGCACATCTTCGACTACAAGAACGAATCAGTTCTTGACAATCCTCGATACTAATTTTAGACCATTCTTCTTGAAGCTTCACCCACAAATCCTCCGTGTTAGTGGGATTTCTTTCCATAACTTTCACTCCTAAGGTCTTCCAAAGATTTTCTATTGGATTTAAGTCAGGACTTTGCGGTGGCCAATGCATAATTTCCAAATCTTGCTCGCGAAGCTAACTCATTACCACCTTTGCCTTGTGACATGGGGCATTATCTTGCATAAAGGTAGCCCTATCGAAACCTGGATTCTGTATGATTGGCACAACATGATCTTGAACAATGATTTTATAGATCTGCGCGTTTACACGAGTTTGTAACCGGACAAGAGGCGTTGTACCTTGGCTAGAAAACATTCCAAATACCATGACGCTTCCGCCCCAAACTTGACAGTTTTCTTAGTACACTTTGCACTTAATCTTTCACCAATACGTCTCTTTACATTGTTTTTTCCACCATTTCCAAATAAATTAAACTTGCTTTCATCACTGAAAAATACTTTTGCCCAATTTTCATATGTCCAAATTACATACCTGTTTGCAAACTCTAATTTCTTCTTCTTATTCTTCGAACTAACAAGTGGTTTCTTCCCTGGGGTTCGATTAAACAGCCCTATTTCTTGCAGTCGTCTACAAACAGTCTGTCTTGACACATTAACACATGAGGTACTATTCATAACCCTTTTAATTTATGTGCAAGACTTAAAACGGTCCTTTAATGGCATACGATGCATTATTCGATCTTCTCTTGCTGAAGTTTTGCGGGGTCTGTCGGTTTTAAAAGCACTAACTATTTTGCCAGTATCATTGTAGGATTTAACAACCCTGCCTACAACACTCTTGGAACGTTTCACTTTCTCTGAAATCTCTCTAATGGTGTGCTTTTCCTTGTGTAGCTTCACAATAGCTTGTCTCACAGTGTAATCAAGTTTTTGGCGTTTCACCATGGTGCCAGCTGATGCAACGTTTACAAATGACTAAGTAAGACTTATTCTTTAGAGTAAATAAAAAAAATTCGAATATAGCATACTGTTTACAGAGTTTTTCTCAATTTTGTCCCTTACTTTTGGACGATCCTATTTTGAAAATAAATAAATAATTGTTATAATTCTTTTTCTATCCTTTGAAAATGATTCAAATTTAAGTATCTTATTATGGATGATAACGACTACAAGTTGTCAAACTTTTAGCTTTTCGCAGTTGTTATTTCTAACAAATATTAGATTTTAAAATTTTGCCCCTTAGTTTTGGACGCTACTGTATATATATACACACACACACACACACACACACATATATATATATATATATATATATATATATATATATATATATATAAACACAAACACACACACACACACATATATATATATACACACACATATATATATACACACATGCATATATATATATACACACACACACACACACACACATATATATATATATATATATATATATATATATATATATATATATACAGAGCGAGAGAGATTCATTAATAAAAGTTTCATGCTGATTACTTTTAATTATTTTCACTTTTTCAATATTTATGATAAGTACTTCATCTCACTTTGCTATTGATAAATATAAAGTGTCGTATCTGAATATGTTCAGCTCAAAGCCCTCAAATATGGGAAGTCCACTTTATCCATACCAAATACAAATTGGAAGAAAATTATTAGAAATATTGAAAAAAGAAAACAAAAATTTAGAAAAGGGAACTTTAGTTGGTTTTTAATCAAACGGGACTAAATATAAAATTGATGTCTAAATACAATCAATACACGCACATGCACCAACACACGTACACGCATGCAAACACAAACTCACACACACACATATAAGTTTGTGTGCGTGCACAATGTGAAAATATTGATCATCTTCTTCTGATCGTTCGTTATTGAACTTTCTTTTCTTCTTCTTCTTTTTTTAATTCCTAATTTAAATTCTTCCACTTTAAATCTTTTTCATATATTTCCTGTTTTTCTTCTTTGTCCAGTTCGCTTTCTCTTTCACATCGTTACTTCCTGACGTTTATTACTCGCTATTCTCTCTTTTTTTATATCGTTATTCATTGACACTTCGTTTTTCTTTCGTTTTTTAATATCCCCTCTTATGTACTATTCTTTTTCTTTTTTTCAGTGATTTCTTTGTTTTCTTTTAGCATTTCTCATTTTTTCCCCCTCTTCTTTTTTCTTTTGTTGCTGCAGATGGTTTGGTTTTTTATCGTTCCTCATTTAAATTTCTCATTCCTCTTCTTCGTCTTCTTCTTTCTTTCGTTCTTCATTTTTTTTTCATTATCATAATCATCATCACCATAACTATCTTCTTATAGTTATTTGTTTCATATCGTTCCATATTTACATTTCTTTTCCTTCTCGCTTTCATATTGTTCCTTATTTAAATTTCTGTTTCGTTTCTTTTTCATATCATTCTTCATTTGAATTTCTCATAGCTCTTCTTCGTCTTCTTCTTTGTTTGGTTCCTTAAATTCTTTTTCATTATCGTAATCATCACCATCATCATCATATTTTTCTTCTTCTTCTTCTTCTTCTTTTCTTCTTCTTCTTTTCTTCTTCTACTTCTTTTTCTTCATTTTCTTCTTCTCTCTTTCATATCGTTCCATATTTAAATTTCTTCTTCTCTCTTTCATATTGTCGCTTATTTAAATTTCTTTCTTTCATTTACTTCCTCATTTAAAATTCTCATTCTTCTTCTTCTTCTCCTTCCCTGTGTCGTTCCTGAAAATCTTTTTCATTACCGTAATCATCATCATGATCAACATGATCATCATCACTTTCCTCCTTCTTTCATATCGTTCCTTATTTCATTTGTTTCTTCTCTCTTTCATGTCGTTCGTTCTTTAAATTACTCCTCTCTTTCATATAATTTCTCATTATTCTTCTTCATCATCCTCATCATCGTCTTTTCCCTTTCGTACCGTTCCTCACTGACACGTCTCTTTCTATTCGTGTACATTTTCCCCTCCCCCTCTCTCTCTCTCTCTTATCTCCCCTTTCTGCCCCTATCTACGTTATAGCTTCAACCTACGTTCACATCTGCCGGCTGCAAATTAATTCACGTGTATTTTGTCCCAATTCGTCAAGCGCTGCGCACTGTATGTCCCCGGTGACACATCCTGGTCTTTCTCGAGGCAAATCTTTCCATCCGGTTATAACAAACCGTAAATGGACAGGAGTCAAACGAGTTCAGACCAACTTTGGTAATTATTCCTGTAACTCCAGAGTAATGTTTGTTTTTTTTTTTTCATTCGTCAAGTAGGTTAGTAGATGTTTTTTCACAGCAATTCTTGCCTTCATTATGCACCGCAAGTGTTTAATTCTCCAAGCCCCCTTTCCTCCTTATATGTCCCAGAAAGTTAAGCTGTCATTTTCTCTTGTAGTTCCTGTTTTCCTTAAATCTTACTAACCACCAACTTCTGTTCACGTGATTTATACCATTCATCGGTAGAAATATATCTTTGTCGTTTCCTGTGGCTAATTGTCTTCTATATGTAGGATTAGATATAATATTCCAACTCAACGCCTATTTCTTAGTTTCTAACTATATTTACCTATCCTTTTGCTTAGTTTCTGAAAAGTATCTTCTATGATTTAATTGCGCTTTCATATTTTTCTGTCACACTTTCTGTGACTACTCAAATAGATGAATTTATCTACTAGCTCGATATCTTCGATGCAAAAGCATAACTCCCACATTGGCTTGGTTTTATCCTATCTTCCATAGATAGTCCTTTGTTTTTATTTTTCTTTACTACTTTTTCCTAAATACTGATTCTGCTACCAATCGAATTAATTATGAATGCAGTTCTAAATAGTTCAATGAAATTTCTTATCTCGACCATCTTTAACCAATTACTGCCAAATGAGCTATGAAAGGGAGATAATCCATTTATTAATAAGCTATTTTATACTTCACCCACGAAATGGCGACACCATTACAACATCTGGCACATGAGAATATATAAAAATATTACAGCAGATGTCTGTTAAATATATTTGTCGTAAAAGACAGATTTCAAAATGTTTATCGGCGTACGGATTATCCCCTCATTACGAGATATACCGCGTAATTCTGGCTAAGCACTAGATATTTTGAAATACATATGTAATATAATTTATGCTTATTTGGATAGGTCGAACTATGGGGGCATTAGAGACGGGGATATTTAAAGAAAATTTATGAAAATTATAGGCAAGAAAGTGAGAACAGAAATACTGGGACAATCTCAATAGCTAGCAAGCAGACATAGATAGATAGATAGATAGATAGATAGATAGATAGATAGATAGATAGATAGATGTGAACGGGCCGAGAAAGAAAGAAAGAAAGAAAGAAAGAAAGAAAGAAAGAAAGAAAGAAAGAAAGAATGAATGAATGAATGAATGGGGGAGTTTTACTCGGAAGAGTTGTCTGCAAATTGTTGAACCAATTTTGTAAATTTTGGGGAGACGTTATATGTGCAGTAGCATGGACAACTGCCTGTATATCTTAGGTCTGAAGTGGTCGCTGTCATTGATTAGGATCTGTGGCAGGTTGCTTTCCGTTTTAATTGTAGGATCTTTCTTTACTGTAGCTACCATTCGCAATGAGGTCTTCCCATTTTTCTGTATATGCCGTTTTATCCATCACTTCAGATGCAGCGGCTTTTCCCGCTGATAGTATCATGTTTTCATTCCTCTGTAGGATTTTGATTGCCAGACTTTCCAGTTTTGTGATGTTTGATTTGGGAAACTTAGCCTTCTTCAATATCTGTCTCACTTTCCATTTTAGTTCATCTGCCTGAACCTGAGTGAAATTCAAGGCTATTTCCTCGATTCGTGCAATGATGTCTAAGTATGCTATCCGCCTGATGGTTGTGGCGACGTTGAGAACATTGTTTAGTATTGATTTCATAGGGGCACTCAGCTGGTGCTGACTGATGTTGATTACTGCCTTTACTGGTGGCTGATAGACATTGTGTGTCAACTTCTGCTCTTTCAATTTAGTTAATGTTTTTACTTGACGGATAGTGACAGCATCGAATTCATGTCTGGAGGATTTATCCAGGTCGTGATGGATCCTATTTTGATCTTCTTCATTGGTAATTCTGTGGGAGAAGGCCTCGAGCTTCTGGGATATATCAGTCTGTAATTTAAATTTACATATAGTTTTTAAAAACTATTAAGGTGTAGGTTTAAATTGAATAAGTGTATAAAATCTATATGTAAATTTAAATTCATTTTTTCACTCTTGGAAGTGTAGTCTGATGAGCCAGGGAAAAACAACTTCCCTAGGGAAGAAAATTAAAACCAATGGACCCTTACCGTTGTCTGTTTTCATTGAATTGTATATATAATCGACTCTCCAGTCGAAATTCGACGTATGAGGGTCAAGCAGATCAGTTTCCAGGAAACCAATAGCCCGACACCGGCACATGAGATTTGATTATAGTGGTAAAGGCCTCGTGCAGGACCATCCACACTTTTTGAAGAGACGAATACAGAGACCTGATGCACCGAATGCCACAAGGTTCCCAAACGACCCTGCGCAGGTTTTGAATTCAGAGTTGTCCTTCTCCTAGACCAGTTGCCATCCAAGGCTATAGAACCCAGTCTGTCCTGCTATTTTACCCATAGCTGGAGGGAGAATAAGAGGATTCATACCTTTCCCAAGTTTATTAGCACGTAAGTGAATGTAATGGATTCGACTGGAATTCGAACTCGGCTCTGCGATTCCTCAATCCAAGCCGATATATATATATATATATATATATATATATATATATATATATATATATATATATATATATATATATATATATATATATGACTGACCACATCCTTAATAAGTCTGGGGCAGTTTCAATACGATAACAACAACTCATCTATGAGTGAAGACACATTTTGTCATGTTACTAATCAGGTCAAAGGCCGGATGACGGCTTTTTCTTTAATGTATTTGTAGGATAGTGGAACACTGTTAACCTTGTCTAATTTTCTGTATGCGGACTTCTGATCTACCATGATAAGCAGGAAATAGTTTACATCTGACTAACGTAAACATAGTTTAAGTTAAACAAATTTATTTCCTCTTCATTTCCGCAGATTTTTAACTGGTTTTCTCAGAAATTACATCCTCATAGTTATACGAAGCTTCCCGACTTTCAAAACAAGCTGTTTTTTGAGTCACATGGGATATTTCTTACTGATATGTTCAGAACAAAGCAATAAATGAGGTAATCTTGTGAGAGAATTCCTGGTAGACCTGCAACAGTAAATAACTCTTTAGTACACTGACAAACGACCAAGTGTATAGTTTTAATACGCTTTGCTCGTGTTCTTTGTCAAATATCGAATCTTATACATTGGCCAGCGAACACTTTATTTTAGCGTCTTTCGCTTTTTCTACCTTTCTTGGGATGGAATTAATAGATGACGTCCCCAATGTGTAGTAATACGCGAAGAGAAAAAAACACTTCCTGGATACTACGCAGAAAACAACTCAATTACTTTGGACAGCAATAGAAAAAGTTGGTCTCCCAGAACATTTTGAAAACTCCGTATTACTTTTACCAGGATAGTGGCGGGGGTGGGTGTAGCTCTTACTGCTATATCACTCTTTCTCTTCCTTAATATAGAGAGACATGTTTGCGGGTGCATATAAATACGTGTGTGTTTTGTTACTGAGTTATTTCGTAAGATCGTTTAATTGCATTTTACACATTGTAACAAATATTCTCACTTCGAAATGAAACAAAGAAACTAAATCGAGCAAACGTATCGTTACTATTTCCTGCAAAAGGAGTCTTTCTACATAATCTCCTTCTCTCCAACATACACAGACACACAAACACACGCCTTAGATAGATAGATAGATAGATAGATAGATAGGAATAAAGATATATATATATATATATATATATATATATATATATATATATATATATATATATATATATATATATATATAGATCGATAGAGAAACACCGTCCTGTAGGACGAATATTTTCTGTGAAAAGTTCTCGTACATTCAGGCCGGTAAATGTTTATTATAAACAGAACATTTACTTAAATATTTGTATCTATAAAAGAAATGTATAAATATAAAAATGTCTTAAAATAAATGTGTATATATATATATATATATATATATATATATATATATATATATGTAGATAGATAGATAGATAGGAATAAAGATAGATAGGTAGGAATAAATAAATATATATATGTATGTTTATAAACAAAACATTTACTTAAATATTTGTATCTATAAAAAGAATGTACAAATATAAAAATGTCTTAAAATAAATCTATATAAATATGTATATATATATATATATATATATATATATATATATAGTTAGATAGATAGATGAAGGAATAAAGATAGATAGGTAGGAATAAATAAATATATATGTATGTATGTTTATATATATATATATATATATATATATATATATATATATACATACATAAATATATATATATATATATATATATATATATATATATATATATATATAGAGAGAGAGAGAGAGAGAGAGATATTATACCATTCGTCCGTGCATTGGATATTGCTAAAACATGTCCTGTGTTCCTACTGTATATTTAGATTCTAAATAAAATC